AAACACAGAATGACCTCTCTGACTTTTTAACCCCGTGCACAAAGATCATGACCAAAGATTACATGTCTCTACAACTGGGGTATGCATGAGTCAGGCAGCAGATGGTGATGGGAAAATAAAATACATAAAAACTTGGTGGTTCAAAACAAGTCATGGAGATTTTACAGAGATTTTTAAAAACATTTTATGAGTTCTAATATGGGATCAAATGCCAAAATCTTGGATCTGCAGCAAAAATAACAACTTGAGGAGCATGTTACAACAAATTATAATAAGTGAGACAATTGATTGACTGTTCCTCAATATCACGTTTAATGTTTTTGTAAGAGCTTCTATGTGAATTTATTAACTCCTTAATGCCTGAATTTATATAGATGTTTATAAAAAAAAGATTTGTGTGTGTTTTTGCCTTTAACCCTCTCCAGGCAGGCGTTGCAGATTTGCAACAGCTAAATGTCAATTACCTACTTACTCCACATCCATATTTTATAAGCTTTTTTTTTTACTCAGGAGCCTTTTCTCTCATCCATGCTGATAAACGTGGACGATGCAGACTGTGCAAGAATGGCTACACACAAACAGCCTGCCAGAAGTGCAAAATACTTTTGTTCTTTACAAAGGATAAAAATTGTTTCTTGGAATACCACACCAAAAAGTGATGTTGTTCTGCCACTGTAAAGCACTGTTACACTGTGCTTTTTGTTTTCATTGTTATGAAAAGTGGTACACATAAAGTTAGTGTTCATATCATTTTCAGTCTTCAGTGTTAATTTACCACACCAGGCCAATGCTGCAAATCTCCAACATCCCAGAACGCATTGGATGTGAAGGTCTCTCTCAAAAAAAAAAGTCAGGATTGTATATTACCACCCCATATGATCATTTTCCCCAAATACCAGATTTATTCCTGTTACTAAAATTTTATTTGAGCCTGAGAGGGTTAAGTAGATGGTAAATTAAGTTGAGATTATTAATTTGACTATAGCAAAAAATAAATTCGGGTGTGTTGCAAATTTGCGACAACTAGACACAAGTGCTTCCCAAAAGTTCCTAGGTAGATACGGCATTTGCATTAACCAGCACTGACTGAATGCAGCCGCTAGCTCCACTTATATCTTCATCCAAATGGTTTGTCGCATATTTGTGACAGTCGGCCTTAAGGGGTTAATGCGACTAAAAGAGCAGGCATTATATGAAATGGTCAAATGTGCTTACATTTCCAAACTAAATATTGTATTAAATATAGGCCAACATAGAAATACTCCCACAGTGTGTCTAACTTGCAAAAATTGAGCTTTACAGTGGAGCAGTGTTTCAGGAACTAGGCCCTCATGAGGCAAAATTAAATACAGCATAAGCTACATTTTTCAGGCTCAGTGGATTTGATTTTTGTTTCTGTCAGACCCTTCCTGTCAAAACCCTCTCGATTTATACATGTTTTGGACTAACTTCTAAATTAGCCAATCAATGTTTTTTGTTTTTAAGCAACATTGTATAACATCCATGGTGGAGAGCTTCTGGATTGTCTGGAATGTTCCCTAGTATGGCATTAAGCTTATCTATCTCCATGGAAACAAACATGTGATGCCAGCAAGCCAAGTTATAACTAAAATCTGAGGAGTTTTTTTTTAAAGTTTTTCAAAGTATTTTGGAGAGATAATAAAAGAAATAATAATCACCTGTAATTGAATAAATGCAAGATAGATAAGTTTAATGCCATACCGTGGAACATTCCAAAGAAAACTGAGCAATGTCTATGAAGGCAAGCAGTTACACAGTGCACCTTTAAGATCAACTGAATTCTGAAATAATAAAACCCACGGTAGCCATACAACCTGTGGTCTTTCAAGTCTTTAAATGAATTAACACACATCACCTTTACCGGACTGGCGCAGTCCAAACACCGTCCTGAGAGTCTAATTAATCACCACTTGGTACCAGGCCAACACAGCCCCCTTCTGTCTGAAAAAGCACCACAACAACTGCTCCAGAGTGCCCCTCCATCCAGGGTTAACACAATTACCAGCATGTCCTCCCAACCATACATCCCCACCGAAATCTCACTGCAGGCACTGTAATTGGTGTTCTTTCCAATGGCGGGAGGGAAAAAAAAAAAAGAGTCAAAATGGCGTAAAGGGGATAGAGGTGATTAATTTGCGAGAGAAGGAGGAGGTCGATGGCAATGTAAATCACGTCAGCGCAATTTAATTTCCCCGATTCCCCCGGCCTTGTCTGCCTCGCCAACCTCCAGAGCTGATTGGTTTCCAGAGAAGAGGTCAGAGAGTGAAGGGCACAGCGCGTTGCTTAATTACAGTATAGGATCGTACCCGAGACCTCTGAACCTGTACACTTTGTCACTATTGTTTGCATGTTGCCGAGAATACGCCACATGACTAATGGGTATGTCAAGAGATGCAGGAATCTGTATGTCCTGTTCGCATATGTTCAATAATTATACATGCACTTCAGAAGAGGTAAAATTTATAGACTGTAAGATTGGGACATAATCAAATCCACTGTGTAAAAGGGGGATATTATACTGGTTTGATACCTAATGGTGAAAAAAGCAATGTCCATTGACTGTGAGCAGCAGAGGCTCAGTAGAATGTTTGTTGTTGCTGGTTTTATTTCATTTATTTGTTTAAAAATGCACCTTTGGACCTTTTGAACCGTAACTTTTCTTCAAGATGGACTGGGCAATACAGGTACACCAATTTCTTTTAAAGAGAAGTTATTATGCAAATTGACTTTTTGGAGCCTCATCAAAAACAAGTATGAAGTGGTTTAATATGTCATCCACACATGCTTGAGTATTCTTGCGATCTCTCCAAGGCTCTATTCGAACCCTCCTTACAGTTATCAGTATGATCCAGTCCAAGATTCAGCCCACAAGCTTGCATCATCCATATTCCTGCACGACAACAGCAAAATACAAAACAATACACTACAACTTCACAAACCATACCACGGTGTGCAGTCATTTCATTAGTGGGAAGCACACTGATTGCGTTGTGAGAGCAGAGGACTGAAACGTATTAAACATTTTAATACTCTGTTTTCAGCAAATATTGCATTTTCAAAATGATAAAACTTGATGAACTAAATTTTTTATTTGTTATCAATTATGACCCAGTGAAGTGTAATATTTCCTTTTTAACAAAGAGACAGAATAGTGTAACATATGCAAGTTTAAGCTGCCACTGTGCACTTAGCATAGTAATATGGGAGAGTTAAATATTTTGCATTTAGAAAAATCTGCATCTTTCAAGGTTAGCTTTCACTTTCTGTCATATACATGCCAGATAATGCCCTTAAGAATCCTTTGCATCAAACCAAATGAGAGAAGCTAACCCTGATCTATAACGTGATCCTACACACTGCACACTGACTTATTAGCAGTGTCAGCAGTGGAGACAACAAAGGTGCTGCTCTCCTTTGTAGCTGTTAAGACCCGTTCAGTAAGGTTTAGCCACAGGGGTCAGTCGTACACACAGACTATTGGTCAGGAGCAATTTGCCGAGCGCTGTCCAAAAGGGAGGTCACCGGTACTACAGCCTGCAGCATACACCTCATATAACCTGCCAGTGTCCAGGAGCTTCACAGGCTTTCAGAGCAGGATTACTACTGACCCTTGTGTCAAATCATGAAGGACTGCAAGTCCTGTAGTTGATATTGAGTACTGCAGGACGTATGCAAATGGTAAGAGTTGCCTGAACTGAAAAAAATTACACAAGAGGGTGCTTCTAAACATGCACATATTAATGGCGTAATTACTGTGTGTTCATGATGTGGTTGGGAATTAGCTATCCAATCCAGTGAGTGTTACTCCAGTGGTATTGGTGTTCGTCAGTAAACAACAGCCCTAGGTCACTTATGCCTGCTTTGGCTCTGTGGCTTTGCATGTTTATAATACCTAACAATTTTAAAGGTGCACTACATAACATTTTTGGTGGAGGGTCCACCAGCTGCTTGTCACCAGGCCAAGTTACAGGTCAGATCTGTGAAGAGGTGACTCAGCTCATTGTAAGATTTAACATTTTTCCAAGGTATTTTAGCAATAAAAAACATTAAATAAAAGAAAAATAGGAACCATACTGTTGAAAATTCCATGCAAAGCAATAAAACCTAGAAGACAAACAGAGGGGGGACCCTCTGTCAATAAATGTACATAGAGCACCTTTAAAATATACCACCTCTAGTAGTAGACTAACATTTGTTTATTAACCCCAAACTTCAGCTATTGGGCCAGCTGAAGTTCGGAGTTGATAAACAAATGTTGTCCATATAACCAAACCTGAACAGTGCTTGTAGAAAACAAATACATTTATATAGACTGGACTGTCAGAAGAGGTAATCTGAGGTCAGGCCAAACATAAGTAAAATACAAAATGTCAGACTTGATGCATGTTAGCTTCATCGTTCATATGCTTTCCTCCACACAAGCCCAGCTGAGGCACGCACAGAGCCCTAATGACCTGTGCCTGTGTGTTTGTGTCGGCATGAGCGATGTGTTGTGAATCATCTGATCGAGGAGACACCGAGGATGAACCAAGCATGGCTGCTAATAATTACACTTCTGTAGTGTGGAGCAGTTAATGAGGGGCTGAAGCCTCCCATGATGCCCCTGTAATAATGAATGAGGAGTGGGGTGGAGTATGGGGGGAAGGGGGCTGCTGGTGGAGGGGTGGGGAGCTGCCAGTTAGAGAGGCCGCAATGCCCTTTGGTTTCTCTGCACTCCGGGCATGTCAACGCGAGAGGAGCCTTCCCAGAGGATCCCTGTCTCTGCACTAATGAAGATGTGACAGACGCTCACACAGTGCCGGGACGAGCCAGAATGACGATGGAGGGAGAGAAGTGGAGAGAGCTCATATAAAATAGAAGGCGGTGAAAAGGTGAAAGGTTTCTGTCTAAAAAAAGGAACAAGACGGATGGGACCAATAGCTGAGATGGTTTAAGGGACACTTAAGTGAACACTATAAAATATACAGGAGGTTGCTTACCAGAGAGCTGGTGTAGCTGGGGTCAGAAGTGTCCTCCTGTAAGTAGCGTGAAAGCCCAAAGTCGGACACTTTGCACACCAGGTTGCTGTTGACGAGGATGTTGCGTGCGGCAAGGTCACGGTGGACATAGTTCATTTCGGAGAGGTATTTCATCCCAGCGGCGATCCCACGCATCATCCCCACCAGCTGGATGACTGTGAACTGACCGTCGTTTTGCTGTAAACACATCAGCACATGTATGAAGGCTCTGCTACAATCCACTTTAACTGAGATTCAGTCATTTCTAATCATCATTTCTAATCATCAATGATACACTTTCTTTTTAAACAAGGGTTCCCTTTCTCTTTCAGTAAAAGTCTTCAGTTAGATATATTTTACATTTTTTGTCATATCCCTGTTGGTGTTATACAGAAATGAACAGGTGCATGGTTTCAGAATAACCCTGCAGACCACTGACAGAGCAGAACATCCACACTCACACACCCAGACCCTTTCACCTGTCTTCAGCTCTGACTCTGCGCTGCTCCTGGTGCTCTGCTTTTTAATCGATTGTGAGATTAAATATTGACTTGTTCCTTATTTTTCAATTTGGGTTTTCAAAACCAAAACCAAAAATTAACGATTTCCCTATTTTTAATTTTCATTTTGAGATTGAAAAATATTTAGAATTTTTCATTTCAAAACAAAAATCTAATGGCCAGCAGGTAAAAAGAGCAGAGAATCATGTTTCTTTGTGTGAACTAGTGTTCATATTCGATGTAAAAACATTGGGCTTGATTTTACACCTGTCAAAATGACAGATTGTCTTCAATAGAATTTTGCGCCTGGTTTAGTGTGGGCAGACCACACATATACAGTCGATTGCCAAAGCACAGCACAGAGTATGAGAAGCACACAGGAACCCTCTGGAATGGGCTGGCTGTACACACACATCATCACAGTGTTGTGTTTATGCACTGAGCTCGACCCTCCAGGAGTGCGCTTTGATAATGGAGTGTATATTCCTGAAGTTGACTTGTCTTGGTCTGCCAACACTTACCCAGGACAAAACAATCTCCTCCCATGTGTTACTCTCTTCTCTGCTCTTCCTCTAGCTTTAAATGTTATGTTTTCGGTGCTGCCTCTTTTTAAGGTTATGAGTCTCTATCTATTTGATGCATTAACTCCTGGTGCTTAAATCTCATGTATGACAGTTTGTCCTGCAGTGATCGCATGAAGTCTGAGAAAGGACCCTTTGACTCCTCAGTGGCAGTGGATTCCCTTTTGTGTGTTTGAAGAACACTGTTTAACATAGAAGAGGCTTTTATCAGAGTCTTTTTGGCCCCCACCACAGGTTCATGCTGCTGTGACACAGGCTCATGCAGCTGAGGCTGGTGGTGCTTCATCACGTGATGAACACTCTGGACATTGGCATGAACAGAATGACTGGGGCCAGTCGACTTTCTGACAATAAAAGGAATTTTTTTGAGTGTGAGGGGATCTTGGGAGTTTTTTTGGTTATCGGTTTTGCTTTTTTCTCAGCTTTTATATCATTGGTACCAATTTGAACAGTAATATCACACTCCCTCATGGGCTCCTCAGCCTACTCTTGTACCCGGGTACACACTTGTATTGTCTGTTTTTCCTCCAACATGGCCAGTCTCACCTCTGTCCATTTGAGTCCTATGTATTTGCTCATATTCAGACTCCAGCTTCTAACAGTTTCTCTTGTTGTGCCTGATACACACGAGGACAATGCCCCCTTTTGGGCATTTCAATGTACTTTTTGGCCTTTTTAAGATGCCTACAGCTTATGTTATTTTCTAGTGTATCAACTAGTATACTGTGGGTTAGAGGAGGACTGGTCATTCTTGTGTGTACATTCATACGTTCTTCTTCTTTAGCTTCTCTATATACATTATGATCAGACTGAGACCTTCTTGTGAGTGGCACCATTCTTTAAGGTTAGTGGTGATAACTTCCAGCAAGTCTAAGTCTGATGTTATCACAAAAGTTTGAATGTCAGAAAAAGCCAAAATGTTGAATGTGGGGATAGAACGTCATCAAATCATTGCAATCATTCATTGCCTTGCAGTGTTAAACCGTGAAAGTTTTAACAGTTAAGTTAATCACAAAAGAAAATGTAATTCTGTCAACTGGACAAATGTTTTAAGAGTTATCAGATTTCAGCGCTGATCCAAGAGGTTTCTTCAGTTCTGACAGGGTTCTGGTAAGTCAGTGCCTTATATCCGTTTGAAGGGAGGAACTAACTACACTGAAACTAACACACGCTAGTTGTTTACAATAAGGTAGTTCACACCTTCGGACAGTTTAGTGGACTTGACTAATATCAGATACTTCTTACTGTAAAAAGTTTGAGTGTAGCTAGTATAGACCAGGTAAGTAAAATAACGGACTTCTACAGTGACCTTTGTATTTCTAAATTAGTGAACTGTTTTGTATGTTCCAGTTGATAGACTGCACCAGGCTGTGCCAGAGTGAATGAATGTGTAATCTACAGGTTCAACTTCACATTCTGACTGAACCACAGCTCAGACCAACTGCTGTACTACAGTAACCTGAACCTCTCTCCTTAATAAGTGTTCAACTATTTTTAATACATTGCTTCATCAGTAATGTACATATGGAATTATAAAAGAATGAAAAAATTAAACAATAAATCATATGAAAAGTAAAAAAAAATATTAAATATGACTGGACACTCTGAAGTTCTGCATTGAACAATGTGAGACTAATGGTTATTTCAAAAAGGTTCTTTCAGAAGAAAATATTCTATTATAGAAACATTTCACTCAGACAGGTGCCTCCAGATAGAACAGTTTCCCAAGCAGGGGCACAGGGACCCTTGGTCTGCACCAACACTGTTACAGTCATGGCCGCAGGAAGGGGGGTGCTGGGGGTGCTGCAGTACCCCCTAGTGGCGAAAGGGAGATACAAAAAAATGTATTCAAATATTTAATGAAAATTATAAAAATTTGAGGATTTTGACACATGTAGGCTATTATGTGTATTTAGATTTTTATTAAATTAATTTTAGGCCTAAACATACAGGTTTAAGGAAGTTACATTGTTAACGTTAGGTCTACCGCTTGCTAGCTTACTAGCTAGCACTCCCATTAAAAATTATGTCCAGCGGCCCTGGTTCCAGTGTAAACTTTACAGTGTAAACTTTACAGTGTAAACATTCCAGGTGTTTGAGCTGCTGACCTCGAATGTTGTGCTTCATGGTGTTCTATGACTCTGCATTGTGTGTTAAATCTGCATAATGCACTGTTCTTTGTTGTTCACTAGTACATATATTATTTTATTCTATGGCTTCAGAATTCTACAGTGGATGCTGCTGTTTAACTGTAAGATTGCATAAACCTGATTTACAGTTAATATCTCTGTAATTCCTGTGCCTCTACATATGAACCAAAACTAGTACAGTGTTCAACAGCATCTGAGACAGAAAGTGGTGCCATTATTGCCTCTGAGATTATGACACCATCCATTTCTACAAAGTGAATGCAACCTGTTCTAAGAGAACATTCAGCAGATGTTGCTATGCAGGCATTATCAGGGATTGCATTTGCCGGACTAACCCTTCCCAAACTCACCCAAAAGTGTATAAAAATCTACCCAAAATCCACACAAAATAGTTTCACAAAATTTTAAAAAGTAACACTGCTCTCACTCTCTCACTCTCACAAACTCACACGCACATGGAAAGAGCAGTTCCTCACTTTGGACAGGGCTCCAGACTGCAACCAAATGTTGTTAATGTGTGGTGTAATATAAAATCATGGGCTAAAACTCTAGTGTGTGGTTTTCATGTGTCAATGGTCCTGCTGTTGTAGATGTGTGCCACTAGTGCACATCGTATTGAAGCCTGCAGACATCCAGCTGGGTGACATCCTCATGCACGATGCTCTCAGTTCGTGTGAATGCTCTGCAGCCGCTTTGAAGCCCAGAAACAAATAAGAGGCTGAGGCAGATCGATGGAAATACAAGTCGGATGTGGCGGTTAGCAAAGCCAACTTCAAAGAGCCCCTTAAAACCCAGCCCAGATCAAAGCGGAACACAAGGCCAATCCATGAGATTGAAAGAGGAAAAAGTGAGGGGAATATTGATTAATCTGTATGTCCATTCAATCAGACTATAAAGCAAAGACTTTAGAGTCCATTAATAGCCTTGGTGTTTAATCTGGTAATTAGATTCACATTGCCCATGTTAGTATGTAAATTGTCAATTAAGAAAGACTGAATAAAGTCCATTGTAATGAAGTACATCTTCTGTTTGTTATAGAATGTTCGTTGCAAAAGGTAATTTGAAAACAAGAACAAGATTTTCCCTTTTCCCCACAAAAGGTTCTTAATCACAAGGACAAGTGGCGGAGACACATACAGTTGGATCCAAAAAAGTTACATAGTGAACCTTTAACTCAAATATCACACGTCTGTGAGTGGGTGCTAACTCACCCTGAGAAACGAGTCAAGCGCTCCGTTCTCCATAAACTCTGTGACGATCATGACGGGCCGACTCTTGGTCACCACACCCTCCAGGCGGATGATGTTGGGATGGTCAAACTGGCCCATAATGGACGCCTCAGACAGGAAGTCCCTCCTCTGCTGGTCCACATAGCCGGCCTTCAGAGTCTTGATGGCCACGTAGATCTCTCGTTTCCCAGGAAGTTTTAATCGACCTTTGTACACCTCTCCAAATTCACCTACAGAGGAACAAGTGACACCATTTTCATTCATTGTCAAAGAATCATTTAAAGAAGACATATTGTGTTTGTGTTTGCTATATAGTAATCTACGCCACTTGTGGATCATTGTTAAATTTTGGACATTTTAAATCACAATATTGCTTGAAAACTGCATAATAATAGAAATGAGTCTGCAAACGTGCTGCCTGCTGTCAGCCCTTCTTAAGGATAGCTGCAGATCATGTTAGCAAGTGGAGGATTTTTTATTTATTTTTTCAATCACCGATTAAGAAAATATAAATGGAGAACAATATGAAAATAATGGAAACATACTTTGAAGCCCAGAAAAGTCAATTTTGCACAATATGACTCCCTTAAATATTTAACCTCCTCATCTCTCAAGTGTTTCAAAAGTACACATGTGCTGCATTGATCTCATCCTCTTCAACCACATGTTTTCCAATAATAAAAATTTGCTGTAATTTGTATGAAAAGAGTACATGTTCTGAGCACCCTTTCCCTTAAACTGGCTCAGATCCCACAAACCCTCAACAGCAGCTCTCTGCCACAAATATCTGGAAGCCATTTGATTAATTATCACCACCTAGGTGTCCTGCAGTGGCACCACACCGTGAAATCAACAAAAACGGAAATCTTTAATTAGTCAGTCCCCCTGCATCCTAACCCCTATCCTATCTCTGCCACTTCCTCACACCTAGCTTGCTGAGTAGGCCCTGTCGCACAAGCTATTCTGGTCTCATTATCCGCTCGATTTTAGCCTCTGTGAACTGCCCCAACCAATCCACATGATAACAACATGAATATGGAAAAGTATGATATTGGCAGGAAATAATTTTGGGTGTAATGGTATGTATGTTTACAAAAGTTCCGTGCCAAATGATGATTGGGAATATACTGACTGCCAGTGTTCCCAATAAGGAGGAGACTATGGTGGACCCATACTCAAATTTTTGTCCCCATAGTCTAAACTTTCTCATACAATTAATTATACTTTATGTCTGCAATGTATTGCCTAAACATATAGAAGTATCATCAGAGCCAAAAAGTCACATTTATTCTCTGTATATTATATCAAACAAAATGACCCTAAAATGGATCGCTTGTACCACCATAGTCTAGTCATAGTGTATTTATTACATAAAACCCAGCAGCAGAGGCGATCGGCTCGGCGGCTACGGGGTGTATATATCTACTCCACTAATAACACTGGTTTAGCCCTGGTCCAGTCCTGGTTTAAGCCTGGTTCCATCCAGGATTATTTCTGGTTCAGTCCTGGTTTAATCTGAGTTAAGTCCAGGTTTAGTCCTGGTTCAGTACTAGTCCAATGTTTTTGATCAGCTCGGCGGTACTCTGCTAATGTTTGTGGCTCCCTGCTCTGGTTCCTGGGTCTTTGGTCTTCTTTCTCGTTCTTTCAGATAATAACGTTGGTATGTCACTGGATAGTCGTCCCTGATTGGTTGACGCCAGATTTTTGCCACTCTGACGCCTGAAGACGCACTGCAAAAACGCAGAACGCACTAGACGCGCATCCACATAGACATTTCATGTAAACTGGACGCCTTGACGCTCTGGCCTGAATGGACCTTAACATAATTGTACTTTCTCTTTTTGAAATACCAAAAACCCGCACCACTTTGGTGTGAATCAATACTGTCATAATCCAAAGAATTAAGATAAAAAAGTGCTTACTAACATTTTTTTTTTCACATAGTCTGCACAAAATGGAGCAAAGGATCATGGTAAATCCTTCTGTTTTTTTTTAGCTGTCACTGCAACAAAGCAATATCCCTACACAAAGTAACCTTGTAATATATATACATATATATATATATATATATATATATATATATATACACATCCCAACTATTCTGTCTCACGTTTTTTAAAGCATCAAACATAAACATACAGACCTACATAAGGAAGATTTTTGAGCATCTTAAAATATCCCATGTACCTGCTCCAATGACCTCCTCGATCTTGACCGTTGAGACGTCGATCTCCTTGGCAAACTCGCGCACCGCCTCGTTGGGGTCCTCGTAGGTAAAGGGGTCGATGTATATCTTCATCCCGGGGGAGCCTGAGAAGTGGGTCGGGCAGCCCAGTGGGGAGGGGCAGTTAGACATGTCGGCTCGCAAAGAGAGTTCTAGGACAACCAAAGTGCTCTGTTACAGACACATAAAGGCTGCATTCCCCCTGTTTTACTCACATTAGCTGATGGTGGCCTGTGTTAATGGATAATGAACACTGTTGTCCACAAAGTAAACCACATCTGACAATGCATTACTTAAAATCACTGGTGTTAGAAGAAGTGGGGATAACTGCAAATTATAGAGGACCTCAGCTGCCAGAAATGGTTCCATAGAAAAATAATGAATTGCATTTTGTACTTATGGTAAGTTCAGGTTGATATTAACTCTATGTAATATTTGAAGTGCTTATTTTCCATGGAGATGTTAATACTTGACCTGAAGTGTTCCACAGTTAGCATTAAACTTCTATTTCCATGGAGACAAACATGTATTTCAAGGTATTTGGACCAACAAAAACATCTGTAATTGAGATAAATGTCTTGAATGTTGAGTTTAAAGCGATGAGAGTTATGAATCATCCAAGGGAAAGTTAAAATATCTCCATGGACACAAGCAGCTGTGGGATATTCCAGCTGAATAGTTACTTAGTATTTGGTAAAAATAAGGATTTGTATTTTCTATTATTGTATGTTCTGGCAGTTGTGATCCTCCATAATGCACACAATGCATAACAAACAAACATGCACGGATTAGCCCAACAAAGACAGAAGTTAAAAGAAAGGTTACACAGAGCCAAATGCTGATATGGCAGGAGTAAACGTAGGCATATTTCTGTAGCCTGTTATCCCCTAGCCCAGCACTTTCTCCTCTTTGATAGCAGTAGAACCAATTTCCCCCAGCCTTTTCCTATAGGACTTCATAAGGAGATAAACCTGTGTGCTATCAACCAGGTCTTTCAGCCTTTCTGCACCTCTGCAATGGCTGAGCTCGCATCAAAGACTGCCACTGTCTGCAAACAGTGTGGGGATTTTCTGCACCGCCGGACTGCACTGGAAAGGACAACTACAAAAACACTTGTAACCACATTCAGTGCAGGCCCAGTCCAAGTGCTAAAGAATCAGGATTTCAATTGGGGCAAGTTGTTTAGTACAGTTGTCTCAAAGGAAGAGAGTTTGTTCCCCGTGTTGTCCCCTGAATATATTTTCCAAGTTGCATCTAGAGCGAAGTGTTACTGAGCAGCATCCTGGGTCAAAATCTAATGAAGGCTCCCTACACAGTTTGCTGTTGGCTATGTTTACATGCACACCGAAAATCTGATCATTATCAGATTTCTAGAGTTATCTGATTATTGAAATGTTGTGTAAACAGACATATCCGATGACTGGATTTCTTTCCGATTGGTCACATGTGCAGGTTTTGACAAGGACATAAAATGTATGAGAAATGTTAAGGATTGAAAAACTGAAAGAGTATTCATTGTGCTTTGTTTTCAAAGTTTCTACAAATCCATTAAATAATTGAGACATGTAAACACACACTAAAATTCAGGTCTATTAGGTTATCTGTTTATGCTAGTTATCTGATTTTTATCGGGATGTAACTGTACTCAGTGAATAAACAGCACTTCTAATCTTGTTCCATCATGTATGGATATTACATCTCAAATGAAAAGGCCCATTTATACTATTTTCTGATTTATGTTGCAATGTTTCCTCCACAAACATACCTGGAGTTGTGTTTTGGTCTATTCACGCATGTTTAGCACACAAACTCGGCATATTTAGGCCGAGATCTTCTCAAACAGAAAACATCTTGTTCCACCTTATGATGTCATGTGGCAAAACAAGAAGTGCTCCACTGTGTTTCTAAACTCCATACACCTTCACTAAAATCATCTGGATCATTTCAGACCTGGAATTGCCAATCTCTACTACATAAAAGGTAGAAGGTAGCTGTTAATTTGAAAACTACCACTTCATGACACAAAGTGGAAACGGAGCATTTTGAGCATTGCAGATGTAGACTGTCGTGGGTTCTTTTTAACCAAAAAGAAAAAATATGGTGCAATCAAAATAGTTTTTGTGATTTTATTTACAGAAGTCTGCAAAAATCATGCAAAATGAAAAAAAAAGAGATATATTTACAGGTTGTAGTAGTCTTTAATTAGCTCCTGAGCTGGTGCCTGTGGTGCACACAGCTCTCCTCAACACACACTGTGTCTGTGCAGATGAGAGCCCTCTTTTAAAGTACGAGGCTCATCCCCCAAATCATTTAACAAAGAAAAACTGCTTTTTCTCTACAAATAGAAATAAATAAATTCCCCTTTTGATACAAAAAAAAATAAAAAATCATAAACATTATACTAGAAACAAATATATACTAATAATAAACTTTAAACACAGATAAGAAAAAAAAAAAAATTATTCAATTATAAAAATGGAAAAGTCACCTGACGTTCTTCGTGACGTCATACATGGAGGAAAGTTTGAAACTGAAAGAAGGGCTATGGAGAAAGGAATGTTTGCGCAGCAGTCAAGTGTGCACCTGTGACTCTTGCGATGGAGATGTGTAGAAACCTCGGGGGTAGAGGTAAACGGTCGGGTAAGTAAAACATCTGTATGAGAGTGTGTGTGTGTGTGTGTGTGTGCAGGACACAGTGATTGAATTGATTGTATTTAACTGACCTTGACTATCAACTGTTTTATGGAGACCTATGTAGCCTGTTTTGGGTTGATGGGGGAAACCGGAGCATCCGGAGGAAACCCATCCAGACACGGGGAAAAACATGCACACTCCACACAGAAAGGCCCAGGCGACCCAGGGATCGAACCCAGAACCTTCTTGCTGTGAGGCATGAGTGCTAGCCACTCAGCCACCATGCCACCAATATATGTGAATAAAACAGAACACAACTCCACGCATGTTTTTGCTGAGGTAACACATTTTAAAATGGCTTAAAACTCACAAGAGTCAATTTTTCATTATATATATATATATAATGATATATTTCATATATCCTTTAAATCATAAGCACATTGACGGGCAGTAGTCATTCTGAGAAGCATTTATCCAAATTTCAGCACCATCATTGGAAAAAAACATCATCATTAAGTCAATTTGAGGTCTTTTATTTGAATAGGAAGCACCAGGAGAGGCAGGAGGTGTCCGAAGAGACCGAGGAGGGATGAGGTCTGGTCTACAAGGGATCACCTCACTCTAGAATAGGAGCTGATTGGAGTTAGTGTTCTAATTGCCTTGAACCTTGTCTGCGTGAATGTAATTGCTCATCAGAGATTCCATACAGATTGGATTAGAGTTAAGCCAATGGGGTTTACAGCTTTGCAATCTAAAGACTGACTATTTACATGTGTAGCCAAGCTGTTCACAAGGGAACAACGCACTCCCAAATCGCTTTCACACACATTTAGGACAATGTATAACGTCTAATGTACGGGCCAGATTCCACTTTCATGTTTTATTTATTTAGATCACCAACAGTTTATCCATGGCACTCCCTGTGGTGTAGCCCTGGTTAACTGGACTCATCTTTATATGGCCATGAGATGAAAAATAGATCTGTGCTTGAATATTTCATAGCTTTTATATGGGAGTGCACAAAGGAAATGTATTAAAACGCCTACTCTATTTTTACACAAATACAAACAACATTCTGTTTGAGAGGAAAGGCGTGCCCTTAATAGCTTCCAGGCAATACTATGATTTAATTCCTTTGCAAATTTGATCATTAAGCATCAATTATGAATGGAGAACACATATCAAGCCTTTGTGCATTAATTTAAAATGGATAAATCTTAACCAAGTCTTTTGTTCAAATGTTTTAATAGTGTTTAGTTTGATGAATGACAGTTTACAGCAAGACACTTAACCATGTTATTTTCACCAGTGGCCAGCATTTAGCCTCCTATTAGTGAGCCTCAGTCATTCGCTCGATGGCCTAATGTATCCACAAATCAGGGCTACTGCCGTAATGCTGCATTCATCAATTACCAGCAGTGGCTACATCACATTACCGTTTCACTACACACAATTTACATATTCATTAAAGACAAGTAAAATACTGCAATTTATTTTTTCATTTAAAGCATCTGGAAAACAGATGCGTAGGTTAGAGTGATAACTGACAATTATAAATCTTAAACAGGATTATAAAGGGAAACTTTCAGCTATATTTAAGACAAGCTGATGTTTGATAAGAAAGAGATAAAATGTGTAGTTATTTCATTTTGTTCAAAGGAGAAAAATATAGTTTCAAATTTGGTAGTGTCTCATGTTAATAACATTCATGAGATATACAACTGCATTTATATAAAGCAACACCATGTTTCTTTCTAGAATGGGAATGTTGCTGCATGATTCCAAGGATACAGAAAGTTAAAACCAAAAAGTTAAAACCACAGTCCATATAGATATATTTGTCATATTGTGGAATTTTGTGGAATATTATTAGCCAGGCAGGTGCCACCTAGTGCCGCCGCTCAATTTCATTTCTCTCCAGCGGCTAGGTCAGGAATCGGAATACACTAGACGGTTTGCAAGAACCCCGGACTTCAGCAGCCAATCAGCAAAGAGCTGTGAAGCCATGACTGGGTCCCTTTTTGTGGTACAGCACAACAGTAAACAAAGCGGTCAAGATGGATGTAGACGAAGCCATACATTCTGTGTTGGCGACGATTCCCGAGATTGAGGATTTAAAGCCAGAACAAAGAGAATGTTTGGTGAATTTTATCAAGGGGAAAGATGCCCTTCTTTCTACGGGATTTGGGAAAAGCTTAATATACCAGTTAGCCCTGTTAGCGGCGCATTACATATGTCATGACCAAATAGCAGCAATTGGTTAAATAAAAAAAAAGTACCTGCATACCGTCGAGGGAACGAACCCTAACGCTGCGAGGTCAGACAGTTTCCATGAAGTGAAATTGACTGATGATTCAGGTTATAATATTATAGTCAAAGGAACAACATTTCAATGGAGACAAGAAGGTGGAGGCCAAGGAAGACTCAGGTTTTGCATAAAACATTAGTCTATTTTTGGCAAAAAGTTATACAATGGGACTTAAAGATCAAATATTCTGACTATATAGGTTCCGGTGAGCTTGTGATCATATCTTTGAAATCATTAAACACAATTAGTGGACAGTATATCCATAGGGAACATATAAGTGCTGTAGGTTGGTCTCTAATCTCTCCCCAGGCTATATGTACTATAATGAGTTGACTCTCCTTCTTCCACACAAACTCATTATATATCGCTCACTGCTATTTTACATATAGTCTGTCTGATTAGCATGGAAATAGCCCTAATGTAATTTCAAATGGTATTTACACAAGCTTTCATTTGTGTAGAGAAGTATTCATTTGGGGTTCTTTGTCATTTGATTAATCTATACATTGAATTGTAATTAAAATCTAGAATATTAAAGGATATGAAAATGTATTTGTGTCTTTATCCCTCCTTCATTTTCACCAAAAGGTTACATGTTTGTGCTGTTAATAACGACAACTTTAAAGGTGATTTTTTTCCCCCATGGATCTAAGCAAAATGTGTTCCCTTACAGAAATATTGTAGGTCAAAATAAGTCCGCTATGTACTCTCTGCATCTAATTATAACATGTTGTCTTATCTGAGAATCAGTAAGTGCAGAGTTAGGATGCTAGATGTTGTAAGAGGGAATAAGTAGGATCCTCGAAATGTATAAGGTGAAAGAAGCGTAACTTTGGACAAATGCAAATCATGCTTTCATGTTTTTAAAATCTGTTACAGCACTTTTAAAACTAATTTTGAAATTCTACTTTACAAATGTCATGGAGCTTTAAATTTAAGAAAGGGCAAAAGACAATGGGAGATTTATGGTCTGGACGCATTACCATTCCGTAATCAGGTCAAACTGAGATCAAAATTTCCATAGCGACAAACCAAAGTGGAAGTAGGCACTCAAGTGGCAAACATCCTTTAATCATGGTATAACTCACAAATGCAGCTGGGTTGGTGATGTTTGGGTATAAGGGGAATAGAACTAGTCAAGTGTAGAAGCCATTCTGATGCAGGCAATTAAAATACATCCTACAGGCTTTGATGGGTCTTCAACTGCCGAAAAGACGTACTTTGTCTGTAGGCATTTCCCAATCGCTCATGTTTTTGAAATGAGTATGTCACATGACCTAGCGCCCGCAGAGGGTTAAATCCAATCGTCTAGTCCCTGTCATATCCATTCAGCCGAAACTCTCCGTGTAGTGCGGAGTGAAGTTTCCCTGGTGATTTGTGTCACGCCATCACGCCACACACAGTTACATGTACTGCACCAGAGAAGAGCCGCGGGGTACAGCCATGCACGTTTGCGATTCTCTGGAATTTCATCAAAAACAATTGGCTGAGTGGCACTATTTTATTGTTGCTTTGAATCCTGTAATTACAACACTGTCAGTCAAATTGGGGGGAAAACAATGCTCAGTGGGTTTGGCGAGGGGGGGTGATGGTTGAAGAATTAAACCTATGAATAGGATTTCTTATCAGTGTTGCGTGTCCCATCAACTCCAAATGAGTTGTTTGAAGATTGGCGCGGCGGGCATCGCTCATCTTTTGTTTGTTTTGCCCCATTCACGTTAATTGCCTTTGGTCATTTGAAGGAGAGCTCGGAAAGTGACCATCTTAACGTGGAATCGCACCAAGTAAGCGCTTTGCTGTGTGTCCCCCGGGAGTTCAGCCCTTTTCCTTGACTGCCAGGCTTCTACCGCCTAAGCCTGTGCTGTGAGAGTGATTCAAGGTTAGACATGTGTTGCTGTGGGCACTAGCCTCATCAGCCAGAGCAGGGGAGAGCTCATAACACAACTTAATCACGCCTATCACGCTGGCCCAGAGAGAGGACTGTCAGTCAGGGGGAAAAATACCATTTATTTGGCCTGCCAGCACATACCCAGAGTCATTTCATCTACAATACCTGCTATTACAGTGTATCATATATAATGTCTGAGCAGGGAGCATGGGCATAGTGTTGGATAGCTTTTGGGGAAGGGCAGTTTTGCGAGCCATACCCTCGCCAATATCACCTACATGAAAGTGGGCCAAGCTGCTTAAAAGTCCAAGAAAAACTACGATTAAAAGTGATGTTTTTAGTATTTGTGATTATGGTTATAGCCTTTGATTATAGCTTCCTAAGACTTGTACTACTTCATAGACTGACAAAGTGCTCATGATTGCTCCATCCCACTCTCTCTCTTCAACGTGGATCAGGAAAGATATGTCTTTATGTAACCTTTAGGTAACACACCGACATACAATGAGGTACAGCCATTCTACAGAGTAAGGGTAGTTTAAACTAAGATCTGCCAATCATCCACAAATGCATGTGGTCTGGAGCAGAGTTCAGACCTTGGAGAATACATTTCAGTGTTATTATGCAAAATTTACTCTTGTGAGCTTTTAGTCACATTAGAATGTTGCTACCTCCTCAAAAACATACCTGGAGTTGTGTTTTTCATCCACATGTGTCAATATTTTTTTGTTATTAGTCTGTCTATATCTTCAAAGATCAAAATGCTCTGTTCCACCTTGTGATGTCATCTTGTTTTCAAGTTAACATTTACCTTTACTTCAGTAGAGATAGGCAATTCCAGGGGATGACTCCAGATTAGTACTTCTGGTGGCTCTGGGCCAACTGAGCATGCGCAGTAGTGTCTTTTCTCCCATGGGCACACGTGAATGCACGAGAACGCATGCGCGAGCCACGGTCTTGTGTATCATGTGATCGCTTTGACCAATCAGAGTGAAAGGAGCTAGATCAGAGCAGAGCGGAGTCGGAGCTAACAACTATAAAGCATTTTTTAAGACAACTGAAGAATTTTGAGCTGGGAAAAAGTTTATCTCTAAAAAAAGTAAAAAACTCGCCACAAAATCCAACATTTTTGAAAGTTGTAGGTGCCCTGTCAGCCGAACACAAGCAGCCTGTAATTACATTGCGCTCTATGAGAAAAATCCTTTCTTAGCCCAGGGGATTTTTTCCGCTGAAGTACTAGTGAGTGCCCACTATGTCAACTGGAGGCAGCTACAAGCAGTAATACCCTATCCAGTTATTTTAATAGATCCATGGTAAAACACAGTGGAGCACTTCCTGTATTACCACATAACATCACAAGATGGAAGTGTGTGTTTTCTGTTTGAGAGAAGAACTCAACCTAAATATACAGGGTTTGTGTGTTAAACATTTGTGAATGAAACAAAACACAACTCAGGTATGTTTTGAAGAGGAAACAATATTCTAACACATATCAGAAAATAGAGCATAAGGTCCCTTTAAATGGCATTGGAAATTCTGCTCATGCCAATTTCATTGTATTTATTTATTTGCTAAGAAAAAATCATGTAAAAATCATGACTGATCAAATACAGGGAAATAACTGTGATTAAAGTTTTTGCTCAGCCCTAATTTAACATCACCAGATTAAAAAAAAACAAACAAACATGCTTTTAGAGGTGGAATGAAAAGACATGCAGATTTACATGCAAACTGTACTAATCATTTCCTCTCAAATTTGTGCAAATAAACGAAATAAATAGATGGTAAATACCTCTGCCCGTGCTGTAGTGCTGCAACTTGTCACTGTACACGGCCTCCTTGGTGTACGCCCTTTTCCTGCAAGAGAAAAAAAACAAAAAAACGAAATTAAACATGAAAGTTAAAAATGAGTGAAGGATGTTGCCATGAAAAGACTGTCAACTTATTAGTGGACTGTGACGGTGGGAACGTGACGCGGCTGAAATGTAATGTGGTTGGCGCGGAGGTTATAGCGGTGGCAAGTGAAGTTTATGAAAATGAGCAGATTTTTAATTAGAGCTTGATAGGATCTGGGCGCTTTTCATCTGTCTCCTCTGCCTCGGCATCAAAAGCGCGCGGGACCGTTTGATGAACACTTACATGCTCGGGGAGTTGCACACAGAAAATTTGACTTTCATATATCCAAAAAAGAGCAGGCTCCGAATGTGACAATGTGACAAAATGCTCCCTAAAATTAAATTGACTTAAGTAAAAAGTGAAGAGGACAGAGCCAGGAAGGAGGAATGTCGAGGGAGTGAATGCGCGGTTTCAATCGGCGTCTCCAGCATCATTTTTCACTTTCTCGTCGGAGGAGTTGTAATAACCAAAATGTGAAAGAACTCGCATGTATTTTAAAGTGTTATCACAAGAGGAAGGCCTTGTCAAAAGATGTCAGACAAATTTCAAGGACTGACTAAAATTATCATTTTTATCATGATTTAAGCTTATACAAGGCTGAGGAGTCGAAATGTGCTCCCCAAGTGTATTAGAAATGCAATATTAGCACTGATGAGGACTTATCTTAGACGATTTAGATGACGATGAAGAAAAGGGATCTGAAAATCTGCAATGTGTGAATGCACTTCTGATTGGTGTTTTGACAAATGTTTTTGATTCAATGATTTATCAACTGCAATAAAAAAAGCTATTATGACCTGATAGTATAAAGGGCCTGTCTCAACTTTAAGATAAACTATGGAACTTTTCTGCCCGTCTCCATGGAAATATCATCGGGCCAAATTATAAGTCAGATCTGAGGAGAAGAAACTAAATAGAATTTGTTTTATTTTGAAGTAAAACAAACAAATAAAAACCTTATTGAAATAAATGCAAGAAAATAAATGTAATGCCATGCTGTGGATCATTAGTCAGGCTGGCGCCACCTAGTGCCTCCGCTCAATTTCATTTCTTTCCAGCGACCAGGTCAGGAATCGGAATACACTAGATGGTTTGCAAGAACCCGGAAGTGCGAGTTCGGGCACCAGCCAATCAGCGAAGAGCCATATATTCTATGTTGGCAACAATTCCCGAGATCGATAATTTAAAGTCGGAATAAAGAGAATGTTTGGTGAATTTTATCGAGAGGAAAGACGTTATTGCCCTTTGTCCTATGAGATTTGGGAAAAGCTTAATATACCAGTTGGCCCCATTACATATGTCACGACCAAATAGCAGCAATTGGTTAAATAAAAAAAAAGTACAGGCTCTATCCATGGAGATAAGCAAATGCTGGAACCCCTCCAGGAAATCTATGTAGCACAAGTGAAAAGAAAACCTCACAAAAAGGTAAAATTACATGAGACATTCTCCGGTGGGTACCATATTTTTATTTTCGTGTACTACAGTTTGGGAGCTGTACGGTGTTATAAATGATGCATAGTATATTTATTTTGGTATAGTTCTTATTGAAGCAAAGAGCATTTCCACCAACATATCTGAATGAGAATGGAGCTGCTGCCTTTGAAAAGTGAAGTGTAAATATACAAGATGTTCCAGCAGAGCATTTGTTTATGTGAAGAGGCTGACTCTGTGTACATCAGGCTCAAGTGGAGTGTTTACCTGCTGCACACTATGGAGATGGCCACCAGGGACACGATGAAGACCACTCCTGCGGCCGCCGAACCTGCAATCAGGGGTAGCTGCTCCCTCAGCTCCGACTTGAAGTCATCTGACACACAAGACAAGAAATACGGTGAAAAAACAACCCAACAATAATAACAACTGGCTAAAGTACACAGTGAAATAGAGTCAAAATCAATAGCTGCATTCACATTGTCCTCATCTGATCCCTAGTCCTGGGTCGTGTTGTAGTCCTGGTTTCGTTATGTTTGTCCTGTCCTCTCTTATACCTAACAAGTTGAGGTCTGAGAAAAATAAAAAAAGAAATGTTGTTAATACTCACATGACAATAATATTACAGAATCATTAATAGAAGCAATGAACGCAGCATCACCTCATTAAATATTTTTAGAAACTCATAAGTGCCCCCTGAGAAGCTTTGGGTCCCAGTCCAAGTTTAATCCCAATTTTCAAAGTCATTTAAAGACTCGCACTGGTGAAATCATCAAAATTATTATTCCATATTTGTATACCAGTCGATATTTTGGACATGCCAGTATTTTGAGTGGCCTGTTCGTGAATAGTCGTGTGTGTGTCTCCAGGAAATGTTTGTATTTGATGGAGGAGAGATAAGAGGAGGCAGACAGAACAGTTACAGTCGGTGACAGGAGGAGAACAACATATAGATCTGTTTGCTGTAGAGGTGCTGACTGGAATCTACTCGGCTCTGGCACGACTCACTGAAGACTCGTGTGAGAGAGAGACATGGGAGAGACGAGAGACGGAGGGACAGAGAGAGGGAGGGAGAGGGAGAGAGAGAGAGACAGACGGGGGGAAACAGAGAGAAAGAGAGAGAGACAAAGAGAGAGAGGGAGACACGGAAAGGGAGACACAGAGAGGGAGGGAGACAGAGAGAGAAAGGGAGGGAGACAGAGAGAGGGAGACACAGAGAGGGAGACACAGAGAGGGAGGGAGACAGAGAGAGAGAGGAGAGGAGGGAGACAGAGAGAGGGAGACACAGAGAGGGAGGGAGATGGAGAGAGAGAGGGAGGGATACAGAGAGAGAGAGAGAAGGAGACTGAGAGAGAGGGAGGGAGGGAGACAGAGAGAGAGAGAGAAGGAGACTGAGAGAGAGAGAGGGAGGGAGACAGAAAGAGAGAGAGAGGGAGACAGAGGGAGGGGGACAGAGAGAAGGAGACAGAGAGAGAGAAGGAGACAGAGAGAGAGAAGGAGACAGAGAGAGAGAGGGAGGGAGACAGAGGAGAGGGAGACAGAGGGAGGGAGACAGAGAGAAGGAGAGAGAGAGAGAGAAGGAGACAGAGAGAGAGAAGGAGACAGAGAGAGAGAGGGAGGGAGACAGAGGGAGGGAGACACAGAGAAGGGGGGAGACGGAGAGAGAGAGGGAGACAGAGAGAGAAGGAGGGAGACAGAGAGAGAGAAGGAGACAGAGAGAGAGGGAGGGAGACAGAGAGAGAGAGAGGGAGGGAGACAGAGAGAGGGGACAGAGGGGAGGAGGGAGAGAGAAGGGACAGAGAGAGAGAGGAGAGAGAGAGACGAGGAGAGAGAGAGAGAGGAGGAGGAGAGACAGAGGGAGGGAGACACAGAGAAGGGGGGAGACGAGAGAGAGAGAGGGAGACAGAGAGAGACAGAGAGAGGAGACAGAGAGAGAGAAGGGACAGAGAGAGAGGGAGGGAGACAGAGGGAGGGAGACACAGAGAAGGGGGGAGACGGAGAGAGAGAGGAGACAGAGAGAGAAGGAGGGAGACAGAGAGAGAGAAGGAGACAGAGAGAGAAGGAGGGAGACAGAGAGAGAGGAGGAGACAGAGAGAGAAGGAGGGAGACAGAGAGAGAGGGAGGGAGACAGAGAGAGAGAGAGAAGGAGACACAGAGGAGGGAGGAGGAGAGAGAGGGGGACAGAGAGAAGGAGACAGAGAGAGAGGGAGGGAGACAGAGGGAGGGAGACACAGAGAAGGGGAGAGACATAGAGAGAGAGAGAGGGAGACAGAGAGTGGGACACAGAGAGAGAGAAAGACAGGGAAGGAGACAAAGAGACAGAGAGAGAAAGAGACAGAGAAATAGAGAGAGGGAGAAAGAATGAGAGAGAAAGAGACAGAGAGAGGGAGTGAGACAGGGAGAGTGTGGGAGACAGAGAACGAGGGAGTGAAACAGAATGAGGGAAAGAGACAGAGAAAAGGAGAGAGACAGGAGGAGTGAGACGAGGGAGGTGCTAGTGGCTCTGTGTGTTTCTGTATCTGTCAGGGCTCGACGCCTCAGAGAAGTGCACCTTGAAATGTTACTTCAGAAGCGTTAAAAAGCAAGTCACCCTCTGCCAATCACTATCCAAACATGTTTTATGCACACATCCGCTTAGCCCAAAAGAAAGAAAAAAAACCAAAACTCGTCACTTATCTTTTTATTGCAAGATGTCTCTCTTCAACTTTTCCCACACACTATACAGTACAGGCAATAAGTCCAATCCGTAAAGTCGCCCATTGGACAGAGGTGATAAAGGCAGAGCTAATGCATCTTTGGAGACACGCTACTACTGGTTTATTACGAAGTGAACTGCTCATACTTTTAAAGGTGCACTGTGTAACTTTTCTGCTTAAGGGTCTATCACCTGCATGTGTCCTTAGAGATGTTATTACGTAGTTTGGGATGTTCCACAGTATGAGCGTTTCAAAAACATTAGTGTGAGTCTGGATTCTCTCGCTTGTAATCTGACCTGATGGCATTACCTGTTGGTTTCCATAGAGATAGATAATACCATACTGTGGAACTTTATCGACAAAGCAATAACATCTCCGTGAAGATAAGATGGTGAATCCGTGTATCATGTGTTTTTCAAAATAAAACCAAAAATAAGGAAATTAAAAAACAGCTATTTTCTTCATGATTTGTCTCAAAAAACCAAAATGAAAAAACGGATAACGGCCATTTCCCGTTTCACGTGACATAAACTGTGATGCTGGACTTTTGCGCCGCAGACGGACTGGACCAGGACTCAACTAGGACTGAACCAGGACTAAAACAGGACTAAACCAGGACAGTCCCAGTCTCAGTCCCGGTCTGGTCCCTGTCTTGGTCCTGGTCTCAGTCCTGATCTCAGTTCTAGTCTGGTCCTGGTCTCAGTCCGAGTCCTGGTCTGCTCCTGGTCTCAGTCCTGATCTCAGTTCTAGTCTGGTCCTGGTCTCAGTCCGAGTCCTGGTCTGCTCCTGGTCTCAGTCCTGGTCTCAGTTCTGGTCCCGGTCTCAGTCCTGGTCTCAGTCCCGGTCTCAGTCCCGGTCTCAGTCTTGGTCCTGGTGCCGGTCTCAGTCCCGGACTCATTCCTGGTCTCAGTCCTGGTCTGGTCCGGGTCTACGTCCTGGTCTGGTCCTGATCTCAGTCCTGGTCTCAGTCCTGGTCTCAGTCCTGGTCTCAGTCCTGGTCCTGGTCCCGGTCTCAGTCCGGTCTCAGTTCTGGTCTGGTCCGGGACTAAGTCCTGGTCTGGTCCCATTCTCAGTCCTGGTCTCAGTCCTGATCACCCGACAGTCTACAGTGGTGCACCTCCGGGCCTGCCCCGACACTCAGTCCTGGTTCAGTCCTGGTTCAGTCCTGGTTCAGTCCTGGTTCAGTCCTGGTTCAGACCTGGTTCAGTCCTGGTTCAGTCCTGGTTCAGTCCTGGTTCAGACCTGGTCCAGTCCATGTGCAGCACAAATGTCCGGCATCGCAGTTTAAGTTATGGAAATGGGAAATGACCGTCATCTGTTTTTCCATTTTGGTTTTGGAGACAAATAATGAAGAAAACATTTTTTTTTTCTTATTTTTGGTTTTATATTGAAAAACGAATGAGCGAATGATACACAGATCTTGGTGACAAACTCTACTGGAAACACAGTCGTAATGGTGTCTTGACTCCAAATTTCGTCCTTGTCCAAAATTGCCAATAGGGTGCAAATGATTTTTACCCCCGTTTTTTATTTAAAATTCTGATTTGAGACGACAGCTCGAAGTCTGACAGTCATCCATATTCCCATTACTGAACTATTAACGGATGGGAGGGGGCAATGAGTCAGTCACCTTAGCAGCGGCCCACTCACATTTTCTTCATCTCACCTGTCAATCACCCGAGTGGGGGAGGAGGAGGGGGGGGTCGGAGGGACACTTTGCAGAGGTGTATAGAAACGTGCTGACAGACAGACAAAGGGAGATTATAGCAGCACCGGAGCCAAGAGGAGAATGACTTGTACAAGATATGAGAGGGACGGGGAGAGGCCGTGCGAGGGCAGAGGCGGCGCTCAAAGTACTTAAGTTAAAGTATCGTGTATTATATTTAGGTCAAATATTCATTACTATATAGAAGTTGAGTATTTTTTTGCTATTACAAATATTACTATGACTAAAACTTGATGACGATGGTTATGTTATTTTTACCAGTGTCTTGCTGCAATTACTACCATCTCAACTATGACAGCTACTACTACTACTACTACTACTTCTACTACTACTACTACTACTACCAATACTACCACTACTCTAACTACTCCTACACCACTGCAAGCTCTACTACTTACATTACTCCTACTACTTCAACTACTACGAGTAATATTCCAACTACTACTACTACTACTTACTACTACTTCAACTAGTACTACTACCACTACTACACTACAGCCACTAATAACACTACCCCAACTGCTTCTACACTACTCCAACCTCAACTACTACTTATACTACTCCTATTACTCCTCCGCCTCTTACTACTACTACTACTACTACTACTACTACTACTGCTGCTACTACTACTACTGCTACTACTGCTACTACTGCTACTACTGCTACTACTGCTACTACTACTACTACTACTACTACTACTACTACTCAAACTGCTCAAACTAGACCAACTACTATTACGACTCCAACCTCAACTATTACTCCAGCAACTACTACTACTACTACTACTATTACTATTATTACCACCAATACTACCACTACCCTGGCTACTCCTACACTACTGCAACCTCAACTGATACTACTTCAACTACTACAACTAACACTCTCAATACTACTACTACTACTTACTACTACTCCAACTAATACTACTACCGCTACAACCACTAATACCACTAC